TTCCTTCCTTCCTCCCTCCCTCCCTCCCTCTCAATCCAAGCAGGCTATTTTTACAGGGTCGCAATTCCCACAAAGCCACAACTTGTTTCAAAGAAGACTGACTTTTGAATCATGCTTGACTCCCACTGGCTACATGGACCCAGGCTGCTCACTTAGCAATGAAACAGACCTCAGTGTCTACAGCAAACTGTGGTGGTGCCAGAATGATGAACCTTGTACAAGGACATAGTGATGCATAGGCCCCCCTTACGCATTGCATCATGATGCCATGATGCATGTTTTATCATTCCATACCACTCCACTCCCCCTCGGCATGAATAGGGTTTCTCATCAAATTCTTCCAAATTGTTTCTTTTTTAAAACTTTCCAGTCTAGCCCAAGGATTTTAATCTCCCATCCAAATATTAATCAGGCATGACCCTACTTAGCTTCCAAACCCAGACAAGGTGAGGTAGTTCCCTCTATAACTATGGTTTATTGAATAAATCAAATCTTTACTACTGGTTCTTGGTGGGTGTGGCAGGGGAAGGAAACTGCAAAATCCCCATTCCCCACCCCCACCGCACTAACCTGCTTTCCAGCTCCATTCTCCTGTGCAGGGCAACCAAAGACGACCCAGCCGATCAGCTGGGACTCGATGGGAGGCAGAGAATAGATGAGGGCAGGGCCAGTCAGAGGTGGTATTTGCCGGTTCTCCGAACTACTCAAAATTTCCACTACCAGTTCTCCAGAACTGGTCAGAACCTGCTGAATACCACCTCTGCTCATTGGGCTGGAATAGCAACAGAAACAGATTCTGTGCTGCACTAATTCAGGCACGTTTCATGGAACTGGTTTCTCCAGCCCAATGCAGTTGCAGAGTAGAATTCACACAATCCAAGATATGGCAAGTAGGCTTGATGGCAAATGTAATGCAAGAGAAAGGTTGGGTATGAGTGCAACAAGAATGTTTGTGCGTCTAGATGTGTGAAAATTACAGACACAATGGATTGGCAAAAGCGAAAGAATTCTAATCAAGAATTCAGTTCAAGAAAAAAACCAATCAAGGAAAGAACCAACCTAGAACTGAAGAGCAATTTCCTACCAGAACAATTATTCAGTGGAATGGCTCACCTCCAGAGGTTGTGGGTGCTCCATCGCTGGAGGTTTTAAGAAGAGATTGGACAGCACTTTGTCTGAAATAGCAACAGCACTTAGACTTATCTGCCACTTTACAATGCTTTACAGCCCTCTCTAAGTAGTTTACAGAATCAGCCTGTTACCCCCAATAATCTGGGCCCTCATTTTACTGACCTCGGAAGGCTGAAAGGCTGAGTCAACCTTGAAGAGACCTTGGTAGTCTTCTAATCCAACCCCATGCCTAAAGGAGGATTTATACCATTCTGGTGAATTATCCAATTTCTTCTTGAAAACCTCCAACAATTGATGTCTATGGAGATTCTCGATTGTCCAAGTCATGGCTGTCCAAAAAGTGCTTTTTTTAAAAAAAAAAAGGCAACTGAACTTTCTTGGGGGGTTTTTCCCCTCTGAAAACAATTCACTTCTTATCCAAGAAGCATCTTCTGAACCGAAGAAGCTTCTTGGATAAGAAACAAAATCTTTTCAAAGAAAAAAAACCCAAGAAAACCAGAAGTATCCACAATTCTGGGAGGCAAGTTCCATTGATTAATGGTTCTCTCCATCGGGGATTTCCTCCTTATTTCCAGATTGGATCTCCTTCTAAGGACCTTCCCCTCATTGCTTCTTGTCCGTGCCTCAGGTACTTTGGAGGATAAATCAAGCCCTTCTTCCCTGTGAGAGCCCTTCAAGTATATTGTGGCCCACCAGTGGCCAGCAGAGCTGGCAGCAGACTCAGAGAGAGGGGAAGTTGGGGAGGAACATCGGCCAGTCCTGGAGTCTGGGGAAGGCTCTGACGAGGGCTCTGCATCAGAGGCAGAGATGGGGCCAGGGCCGTCTGGGACAGTTATCAGCTGCCTTCGGAGTTAGAGATCAGTGGGGCAGAAGAATAGCTGGAGCCTATTCCCAATGTGTGCATGCACAGAACTGCCAGGAGAAGGGAACAATTAAGGAACAAGGGTTGATTCAGGAGTAAAGGCTCAGGTGGATGGTGAATGGCCCTTCCCATAGGGAATAAAGAGGAGCAAAAAGGGAGTGGTGTTTGCAGGAGACAATTAGTTCAATTCATTAGGGTGAAGATCTGCACCTGACTTCTTGCCAAGTAATTGCTGCTACAGCGCGGCGTTTGGAAGATATCATCCTGGCAACTCTCCAAGCCTGATGAAGGTCTGTAGTTGTGAAATCTCATGAAAGACTGTTTGCCGGGACTTTGCTGGAGAGGAATTCCCTTTAACCTAAATAAAATTTTGTAAATTATATAAAGATATAAGAATAGTAATTATAGTTAAAGCTATTATTCAGTAGTAGACAAATGTAACATAATGTATTATATTTAAACCCAAAACCTGTATAGAATGTTGTTGATACCATGATGTTTTATGATGTAACAAAAGAAATTTAATAAAAATATATTTTAAAAAAATAAAAAAATAAAGAATGCCAGCTGGGGGGAAAAAAGGGTGGGGTTATCAGGATGAGGAGTCTGCTTCATGGTCTTGGGAAGCCCAGGTCAGAACAAAGTATTGGAAGACAACTATCGTGCAGGTCTTCTCTTCATTAGGTGAAACATTCCCTTAGCCACAATTTTTAAAAAATCGAGTGCCTTTTTTATATCACTGACCACTAAACATCTTAGTTTATCTCAAGACCCAAAATGATAAACTTAGTGGTCAATTCAGGGGTGTCTGCAGGGCGTGTTTTTTTTAAAAAAAAAAAACAACCTCATGAGCGGGGACCTATGAGAATGCAATCAAAACACTTTTTAAAAAATGTGTCATACATAAAAAAATGAAAACAGAATCAACTGCATTATGACACTACCAGAGCTGGGGTGGTGCAATGGTTAGGATGCAGTATAGCAGGTTAACTATCTGCTCACTCCAGGAATTCGATCCTGACCAGCTTCAGGTTGACTTAGCCTCCCATCCTTCCAAGGTGGGTAAAATGAGGACCCAGATTGTTGGGAACAATAGGCTGACTCTGTAAATCTCTTACAGAGGTCTATAAAGCAGTGTGAAGCGGTATATAAGCCTAAGTGCTATTCCTTCCTTCCTTCCTTCCCTTCCTCCCTCCCTCCCTATGGTTAGAATGCAGTATTGCAAGCTAACTCTGCCCACTGCCAGGAGTTCAATCCTGATCGACTCAAAGTTGTCTCAGCTTTTCACCCTTTGAAGTCCCAGATTGTTGGGGGCAATATGCTGATTCTGTAAACCGCTTAGAGATATAAAGCACTGTGAAGTTGTAATAGAAGTCTAAGTGCTATGGCTATTATTGTGACTGCCATAGTGACTGCTCTTGTCCACACCCCTGGGCCAGCCCTGAATCAATCAATCAATCAAAATCAAGTCACTAGCAATGCAAAACCTACTCAAAATGTGATGGGAGATGCTTGACTATGCCAGCAGATTCCTTGAGTTTCACAAGAAGGACCTTTCAGGGGTCAGGAATGAAAAGGGCACCCCAAAACTTGGCCAATGCTATTCTCTGCCTTGCACAGGCATTTATACAGTGCCCTCAAGAGAAGGGGAGATACAGTGGGCTGGGTCAAACCATGGTTAATAAACCTCACTGGATGGTCTGAAATAATATGCCTTCTGGAGAACTGGTAGCGGAAATTTTGAGTAGTTCAGAGAACCGGCAAATCCCACCTCTGACTGGCCCCGCCAACCCCATCTATTCTCTGCCTCCCGAGTCCCAGCTGATCGGCTGGGTCTTTTGTTGCCCTGCACAGGAGAAAGGAGCTGGAAAGCAGGTTAGTGGGGTGGGGAGGGAATGGGATTTTGCAGTATCCTTCTCCTGCACGGCCACCAAGCCGTGCCCACAGAACCGGTAATAAAAAGTTTTGAATCCCACCATTGCAGTTCACTCTCAATCCAACACATTGTAAGGCATGAGCAAAATCAGCCATCTAGTCCCCATTTTAAAAAAGCAGAACCCTTGACCAAATAGGAATTCTCCACCCACTACAGCTGGTCCACCCTTACAGCAAGGGTGCCCAGTCTTGGTCATTTTTAAGACTTGGGGAATTCAACTCTCAGAATTCCCCAGCCAGCCAGGGCTGCCATGGAATTCTAAGAGTTGGCATCTACATACAAGTCTTCAAGTTGCCAAGGTTGGACACTCGTGCCCTACAGCCAAGGCAGGAAGGCTAAACTGAGAGTGCGAACACAACACATGTGCACGCACAGAGGATGTGCAACACCCAGCGCTCCTTCCTCCATCCATCAGCCCTTGGCATAAAATCTTTGTGAAGTGATGTCTCTCCCTATACACGCATGTTTATGTTCCAGGAGGGAGGAGAAGGAGGAGAAAACTGGACTTTCTGGGGCCGTTTTTGATTAGGAGTTAGTCTGATGTGAGCTCATTCCTTCTCGCGAGGAGTCCGCCTAGTAGCCCCTTCTCTTTCCACCCGGAGAATGAACGCCGCGTTGTAACACAGATGATTTCCTCCGAGGTTTCTCTCTCTTGTTTTTCCTTGGACGTCTTGCGCGCTTCAGGCTCCCACACCCGTTGCAACGGAGAGGAAGAAGGGGAAGGGGGGGGGGGAACCTTAACTCTTTCCCACCCCTTCTTGGCCACCCCCAAGCCAGCTTTTGGCACAATCACCAGCATTGTTTGGCGAAGGGGAAGGAAGTGGAGGGGGCGTCCAGGGAATCGCAGCTGGGATCCACGGGACAGCTGCTCCGCTTTGGAGTCACCGAGGGATACCTCCCCTCCTGGCCATGCCTGCGCGCGCTTTGCTCTCGCCTCTTCCGAACAGCCGCCGGAGCCGGCGCTGGCTCGGCCATCCTCCGCTCACCTGCAGCTGGTCCAGCGCGGGCCGGACTCGAGTGGGCGTGGATAGCATCTGGCCAAGCCTCTAGCCCGCCGCCCCCCTCCCCCAGCCCGGAGCGAAGCGCTCTTAAAAAGGCAGAGCGCGGCGGGGTTTCTCTTGCTCGGCGGTGCGTCTTGCGGGGCGCGCGCAACCTGACCCACTCGGAGAGTGAGTGAGTGAGTGAGTGAGTGAGTGTGTGTTGTGTGCGGGATGGCAGCGCTTAACGGAGCCCTGGAGAACGGGCAGACGGAGAAGGCGGCTTCTGTGCCCCTCCCTCATCCGATAAGGAACTTGGAGGTCCAGTTCACCAAGGTAGGGGGAAGGATACGCGGGTCGTTGGGTTCCTACGACTCGCTGCTACCTGAGCGGTCGCATCTGGGCAACCGGCTTGAATGGGGGAGGAAGCCTGGAATTGATTCCTGGGGCTCGCCGGATGAGCCCACGAAGGCTTCCCTGAGTGGGATGCATCCAGTAGAATGGGGTTAATTCAATAATCAGGTGAAGCGTGCTGTGTGACTGCGCACGTGTGAGGTTTTTTTTTTTCTTTCCCCTTTTTCCTTTTAGGGTTGTGTTGCTTAACTATCTTTGAAGTAAAACTTTTTTTTTTTTAAATGGAGAGTTTCGGAAAGTAGTTAGTTCCTTAGTATCTTTTTTTTTTCTTTTCCAATAAATGCTTTTTAAGCGTTTGGAAAGCCAGTTTGGTTAAGGCGCCTCGCTAAAAACTAGGAGACCATAAATTCTAGTCCTGCCATAGGGCAGGAAAGCCAGCTGGGTGAGTTTGGGCCAGTGCCTCTTTCTCAACCCCAACCCACCTCACAGGGTGGTCAGTTGCTATTGGGAAAATACGAGGAGGAAGGAGTGTTAGGTATGCGTGTTGCCTCGAGTTACTTATAAAGTAATAAAGGTGGGATTTTAAAAAATCTAACAATAAATGCTTCTAAAGGGAAAGTGGGAGTGGGGCTTGATTCATTTGTTCGAGCTGCCTTTTGGGGAGGAGAAGGGGCGGCAATTATCCCCAAGGCATCACAACTAGCTAAGCCCTACCTAATTTTTATTCAAGGCAAAGAAACTCATTGGTTAATAAAGAATGTCAGAAGTCATTGCAGGGAAGGAAAAAAAGGGATTTCCTCTGATTTATTCTACTGAGGATGCAGCAGAGGCGGGAGGGAAAGTGGAGGTTCTCATATTATATAAAAAGGTTTAGGTGGGGCTTTTAAAGGTTTAATCTCATACCCATAGAAATAAGTCACTTCTGGACATGAAACATGATGCAAGCTAAACATTTTACTATTAAATTGCTTTTTATATAATATGTTTGGGAGCCTCCACTTTTTTCCCCCCCAACTGCTGCATCCTCAGTGGAGTTAAAGGAGAGGAACCCCCAATGTTTTCTGCAAAAGAAAGAAATAGGGTTGCAATATCATAGAAGCTTTGATTTTAAATAGGAGTTAATTCTTAACTTTTGGGGGGTGGGTGGGAAGTGCCAAAAGAGGCTTCCTGGATTTTTTTTTTGGGGGGGGGGGGGGAGAAGCCCTGAATCTACTAAGGAAAGTGAAATCTAAAGCAGCCTCCTTGGGGGTGAGGATTTCCCAGGTGTTCCTTAAACACCTCTCCACTGAGCTTTGCAGGTTCCCTTTTATATTATTTTCCAGGAAGATGCATGGCATCAAGGTTTCGCTGCTCTTCTATAATTCTTCAGTAGTGCATGGAAGATTTTTATTTCTTAAATTTATTTTCCACTTCTCTCGCTGTGGCGCTACTCTAGGTGGCTTGCAATAATTAAAGGAAGAAAAATGAACAGGTGTGTAAACTGAAGTAGAATAACAGAACAAGAAAGCAAAACAGTGACAAAGGAACACAATGAGAAATAAGGACATCAATTTGATAACCCAAAAGATGGGAGGGGAGAAGAGAGAGCAAGAGGAGGGGAAAAGGTAGAGTCTAACCATCGATCCAGTAGCCACTCCAGAGGTTGGAAGTTCTCCATTTAGATCCCCAGGTCAATCAGCAGGGGTCTTGTGAAAGAATGGTGGAAGTGTTGTTGTTTTTTTGTTTGTTTGTTTGCACTTCCAGAACACGCAAAGTTCATCATTTGTGTGATCCAGGTAGCTCTCGCGTGTTAAGAGGCTGTGGAGGTGATGAGCATTTTCGCCAGGCTTCCAGTTATCTGTGATGTAACAGTGCTGGGGCTGAGCATAAAACATTTCACACACCTGCCAAGAACCATTCAAAAAACATTTCAACTGGAGGCAAAGTGAGGGAGGGGCTTCCCCAGAATTACAGGGATAAGATCTGACTTGGATAGCCCAAAAAGCATTTTTTTTTAAAAAAGAAATCTTTAATGACAACTAGAAATATTCCTGGTCTGTCTCTAGTAGTCTATGCGTGTGAGAAAAAGGTGGAAAAGGATCATAAAACGCATAGCGCTGTTAGCGAGAAACAAGAACTCATTGGATAGCATTCTGATTGCAATTATTAGTCTGAATAGCTGTTTTGGAGATTGCATCCTGAAGACTGTTGTGTTAGAGGAAATATAGCTTATTCCTATACAAAGGAAGACAAATATGCATGTCCCAGGATAATATTGCAGGATCCAATCTGACTCGGTCATTGGGATCAGAGATTTAATTTTTCTGAGCTTCCATACTTGTGCTGGAGCCCATCTCCAGGGAATTTCTCTCTCACCCAATATTCCTATTCCATACTTTGAGAGTGACTGGATTGCACTGTTTTTATCATCTGTACAGTGTTGTCGTGTGCTTTTTTAAAAAAGTTTTAAGACAACCAGCCTGTGATGGATGCTTAGTTTCTGAGATATCCCACCATCTTGGCTGTTTTAACAAAACAACGCATTGGGTCAAGGATTTTAGATTTGCTTTCTCTCTCACGTCTCTTCTAAAATTTGGACAATTTTTAAAAGTGGATTAGTTGGAAGGGCTCCACTTCATTTAGCCCGTTTCAATCGTACTAATTTCATTTTTTTCCCCTTCGCGGTGAATGGAGAAGGTAGGAAGTCAGGGATGCATTTGAAATCCAACTCTAATATTTAAAAGATGAGGTCCGTTCTTTTTCCCTCTCTTCGAGAAATGATCTGAAGTAAGAAAATAGAGACCTGAAAATGAAGCTAGATTATGAATTGGATGAATCTATTATGAATGGATTAATCATATTTACGTGACTGCCCCACTCATAAGATGTTATGTTTACGTTCACTACCCAGAGTTGCAATTGGAAGACGGTGGTTACAAAATCAGTGGATAAGCAGAGAAACTAGCAAAGTAAACACAAGAAAGAAAGTAAGAATTCCATTAATGGCGCAAATGGAATATATTTAATATAATATAAATCACATTTGCATAAAGAAATTTCTCTTTAGTGTAGAAGATTGTCATACTCTTCCTTACTTTTTAAAATGTGCTTAAGACTTTTTAGGTTTGGCTGTGAAATCTAATTGATCGGTTTATTTGTACTGTTTAGGCCACTTGACTACCAATTACTCTGAGCAGCTTACAAATAATTAAAAAAAAGATAAATACAATACAATGCAAACAATATAAACCAAAACCTCAATTATCGAATGTGTTGTATACATGTTTGCATTTATTTGGAAATTATAAAAATACATCAAAAGGTGGAATTTTTAAAGGTTTGCACGCATCTTTTAAACTAGGATTTCCCTTAACTATTACGTCAAGAAAGCTGCGATATAAAAAGCTTGTTTGGTTGTGGATCTCCCTAGCATAGGTGTCTGTTCTTAACTACAAAGATGCCAATATAACAAAATAAGCATTGTGAAGTCATAATACTTTTGGCATTTGCATAGCAGTGTTGTGGTTCTTGTTTTATCATGTCACTCTTTGGGCTCCAAGGATGTACATTTATAATTATATAGAAATGTGGAATTGGAAACAATAAATATGGAACAAAACCCATTCATAATTCTTCACTTTCCATCAGTGGAGTAATGGTAAACTTCCCATCCGCTGGATGCATTTCTGTCTTGTAGGCCTGGAAAGAGATGGTGATGTTAATAAACGTTAATAAAAACACATTCACTCAAATTTTAGTTCAACATTGATTGTTGCAGTTGCAGAGATTCTTAGTGTGAGAGAAAGAAAAGGATTTTTCTCAGACTAAAATTTCTCTGCCACATTCCAAAATAGAAGGAAAAAGTCATTTTAAGATTAGCATTTATCAGATTTGGCTAGCTCCAGGGCTGTATTTATGTGATTTCCAGTTCCTGAATTGTTTTTGCTAAGATGGCTCGATTAAGGATGCTTAGCGTAATAACGTTAACATTTCACTGGAGCTTGTGATTCTCACTTTTGGCATCTGGAAAAACCCATGTGTTACTTGACTTTTACTAGGGTCTTTAAAAGGCTATTTATTTTGAAGTGGTTTGAACTGTTTTATATTTTAGAATTGTAAGCCATCCAGAGTCACTTGGCTGAGAGATGGGTGGCTGCAGAAATTGAATGAATGAATGAATATATAAAGTACAGTAGTAATTGAAAATAAGGCACATATAGCATCTCTCCTTACACCCACCCACACCCACCCACATACACCCACACGCTGTACACACATGCACCAAACACATAGATATGCACACTGTTTATTAATCTGGTAATAACAACGAAAGAAACTTATCTGATCTAAAAGGGACAATGTGGTTTTATATCCCTGTGCAGCAGCACTGACAATCCATCGGAAACAGGTGATTAATCCATCATAACCATTTTACACAATTAATGCAGCAAACCCTTTTGTATTATCACTCTCTTACATTTTAGTATTGAATGACTATGGGCCTCACAGTTTCAGGATTATTATTATACTATAGTTGGGCCGTGCTGTATTTTATTCGGATGCAACTGACAAGATTAGATGCCCAATTGTGATTTTAATATAGATTTTATTTGTTCTCATTTTAATCTAGCGTTTTTTAACTGGATATTCCTTAAAGTGTTTTTAACTTGCTCTGGTCTTTGACTGTAATAAACGTTGAGTTGACCTGACTATCCCTGCCACTAAATAAACTTAGTTAGAATGAATTAGTTAGAACTATTCTTAAGTGGAACTAGAATAGAAAAATAGGAAGAAAGAGTATTGTGAGAGTCCATGGCCTAGAGTTACTTGCATAGGAACAAAAGCCGAGATAAGAATCAAATAAACCTTGACTCAAACTAGTTTATGAATGGGAATGACTGCAGAGTAGGAAACTAATGATTTTGTGATATTATTTCCTTCTTAATCATCATGGAGAAAAATTCTTATGAGTCATTAGGAGTTAAAATTAACTTGATGGCACATAATTAAAACAATATATATTTTGGGGCAGTCCGGAGATGTAGCTCAGATGGTTTCAAGTCAGAATCTGTTTTACATTTACATACATTTAAATTGATGTGGGGTCAAAAGCAAATATTTAAGCAGATCTTTTGAATTGACTTTAATGACAAGTCTCTATAAGATATGGATACCACCCATTGTGGATATTGTCACGTCAAATGTAGTTGTTTTTGTATTTAAGTAAGGATAACATTGGCATTCTGCCTATAAAAATCTAAGCAAATTCTAGCGATGCTAAGCACGTTCTCTGGTTTAAATGTCTGAAAAATTTCCAGATCTTTAAAAGGAAAAAAAAAAAAGTTGCTAATTGATGATGTTTTTCTTAATATAAATTTTCTAATTTTTTTCCTTTTCTATTATAGGTAATACTTTCTGTGCTTTTAAACTCTTTTATTACTGATAGTTGCCTGGTCTCTAATAGGAGCAAGAAAAGTAGAAAAGCAGCCAGAATTTTGTAAGAAACACTCTTCAACACTATCCATTAGAAATATTTTCCTGTCCCTATTTTTGAATGTTAATGAGGAATCATGCTTTCCATGCTTTGCTAAAATGAAAGAAAGTTCTTTGAACTTGACGCCACCAAAGGCTCATACAAATTATTATATAAATCAATTTGCATAAATTCCTGATTGCCATGACCATATAGTTTATTTTTAAACTGGGCCGAGTAAGGTTTTTTTTTTTTTTTTTTTACCATTTACAGTTCTGCAATTATGCTGCTGAATTTTGAAATGATCTAGCAAATTTCTTTTTTGGGGATGACAGTCTGCTTAATAAAACCTAAATATGCTGCCTTAAATAGAAGTTTCCTTCCCTTTAGTTGCATTTTAGTCCAAATAACGCAAATGCATTTTAGTCCAAGTAACGTTTAACAAATGGGGTTTTCTTCTGTGACCCGAATATCCTTAATTGAAAATATCAGATATTGTGTTTTGTACATTTCATAATGTACAGTTTGCTTAAGGTACCTGATTTAAAAAATGAGGAAAGTTTATCCAATTTATATTGTTCCACAATCTCAACTGTTTCTCTGGGCCTTACAACAAAGAGTAAAATCCGAGCATGTAACATCGCCAAGTACCTAAAATGTTCCAGTGACAAAGGTTGCAAGTCATCATTACAAAATACCCTTTCGGCATAGTTCTGTCTTCAACTTTTTCTGTAAGATGGATATTGTCAGAGCCAACTGAACTCCCAATAGGAAACCATTTCAAAGATCTAGTTCTACTATAGAAAAGCAGCACGTTTGCGCTCTAGATTTACAGAAAATGGAATAGCTAAGTCTTATCTTTGCGTGTTCAAATCGGTCAGGCTAACTCCTATAAAGAAATAACATTCTGCTAGTAACCAAGAGATAGGTCAAAGCAGGCATTATTGTTACAGCTAACCCTTGTGATCTTTAAAACATCTACCTTTATTGTAAATGTTTCAACGATGACTTAGTTTGAAATATCACTGACTGAATTAAAACTGAAAGGAAAGTATGCTTCAGCCTGCAACATTAAATACAACCTTTGGAAATCAATTATACCTTCCTATGGTCTGTTGGGAGAACTGATAATTTAATTCGGGTAGCTAATCTTTAGAGTTTTCTGACCTCTACCAGACTTAAATATTTATTTCTTTTTATATTTTCCATTTCAGAGAGATCTCTAATTCCCACACCTTTCTTTGGCTTCCAATAATAACACAGTTATGAATTGGGAACATTTAAAAAAAAAAAACCTATGAGCTTTGCAAAATAATTGGACGCCCAATGCAGAGCATTCAGAACATTTTTCAGAAAGGAAAAAAAAAATCACCCCTCGCCCTCTAATTATGACCCACCTTTTAGTCAATAGAATCAAGTACAATTCTATTTGGTGTGCAACTGTTACTTTGGCTCTGACATTTATTTATTATTCAGTTTATTTAGTTTTGTTCGACAACCATGTACGAGAAAACAAGTATAAATATGAACATAACATATAAACATATAAGTATAAACAGGTATAAGTATATGCATAATAAATGAGTACGACTAAATGGGGACAGTAGGACAGGGATGGTAGGCACGCTGGTGCGCTTATGGACGCCCCCAGACAGGCCTCTTAAGAATGGAGTGAGGTCCACGGTAGACAGTTTAAGGTTATTTTGGGCTCAATTGTGGTTTTAAGTCGAAGACTATAGTGACTGAACGAACAGATATAAATAGTATAGGTTCTCCTGCTTGAGCAGGGGGCTGGACTAGAAGACCTCCAAGGTCCCTTCCAGCTCATTCATTCTATTTTATTCTAAATTGCTGCAAGGGATTGTAAAGACTACCTGTATTCGGCAATCTGTAATTCTCCAGGCATGTTTATGTAGGTTTTCTTGAAATTATAAGACCACCCTTTAAAACAAATGCTTCCCCGTCTCCCCCATGGTGATTTACAGGCCCTTTAAATTTCCAAACAAAGCCGCCATTTCAGCTACAGAACCTACAAATCAAATGCAATAATAATAGTAATTAAATCTACTACTGGGCCATAAAAACAAGTTAAAACTAATTAGCAGGCTCAATTGCAACTAAGAAAAATAACATTCAACATCCTGGGAACCTCTCTTGTTTTTTTACCTGCAACAAAAGGTTATTCAGTTCGGCCTCTGAAGTTAGACACCATGACTGAAAAAGCTTTTTCCTGGGGAATTTATGTCCAATCCACCTCACAGGGTTGTTGTTGTTGTGGAGAAACTAGGAGGAGGAAAAAGGTGTTTCGGATAGGTTCGCCACCTTGCGTTATTTGTAAAAAGTATAATTTGTAAAAGTAATAAAGGCGGGATACAAATAAAGAGCTATCACTAATGCAAGAGTTAAAAAAAACGGCAAAGGAATCCCTGCAGATCTTACTCTTCTAGTTGTTGCCATTTATAGGGGGCCAGTGGTCATCTCTGTTTCAAGGCCGTTGAGCCAGCACCATCGGAAGACATCTCCATCGTCATGTGGCCAACATGACATCATGGAGCACTGTTGCCTTCCCACCAAAGTGGCACCTATTTATCTACTCACATTTGCATCCTTTCGAACGGCTAAGTTGACAGGAGCTGAGGCAAGTGATGGGAGCTCACCCTGTTGCATGGCGCTTGGGTCTCGAACCTGGGATGTTGGCTTTCCAGCCAACAAGCCCAGTAGCTTAATCATTGTACCAATGGAAGGGGGCAAATCCATATTACACTAACTGAGCAGTGATATCCATCGCAGCAAAAATAACAAGAGTAGTCCCTTGGAATTTGATAGTCCTTCTCTCATGGATATCGAATTGCATTTGTGAATTGGCCTCCTGGACTTCAGTGTGATTTACTTTTTCTGTTGAAACTGCATCAATAAATATTGGCATGTTTGCCACATCTATGACTACTACTTCCCACTGTGATGTGCAGTTGTCATACCCCTGTCGGAATCTGAATCTGAGGAGGAAGACGAACAGCTGACAGGGAGTGGGAGTGTAGCTCAGTTGGCTGTGGAGGAAACTGGGGAAGGGCAAAGTTTAGCTGGGAAGAGATAGAATAAGGGAGAGGGAATTCAGAGGAAGACCCAGGCCCATCCCCTCTTCATCTTAGGGCACACAAGGAGGAACGGAGAAGAGAGCAATGTGGGCTGCATGGCTTATGGGGGAGGAAAGGGCCTTGATTCCCTTCATTAGCCACACCTGGGAATTAAAGTTTAAAAGAAATGCAGGCTCCATGCGGTAGTTGCTGGGAGCAAACATGAGTTTATCTGGTGTTGACTTTGCTTATCTGTGTTCCTGGCATTTTTCCAAGCGTGTTGAGTTTTGCTGTGCCTTCACGTCTGGAATTCTTTCTCCTGCCCTGCCAAACTAGTCACCTCATCTTGCCTTGATTGGACTTATAGTTACAGTTTTTGTTGACCACATTTTGGACTTGATTCCCTGCAGTTAAAGGCTGTTCCTTGGAGAGTTTTTCTCCAGCCAGAAGGTAACCAGGACATTGGGGGCAAAGTTGGAGCTAATAAAGGGACTCTTATTGATTAACTGACTGTGTTGCCTTTGTGCCACACCCCAGGTCATCACAGCAGCTGATGGTTGGAAACTTCACTATTTTAACCCACCTTGTTTCTAAGCTCCTCCATATTCTAGGATGACCATTGGGGAGTAAGTGCCTGGGTCCCACTATTACAGCCAGCCTGTGTCTTATTTTGATGGGGTGAATATGATACACTGCTCCTGAATATGATAAATATTAGAGCTATTCAAGCAACAAAGGAGACAAACCAAGCAAGGGATACAGTAGTCTTGTCAATGCTTCTTCTGATCCTTTTGTTTTCTCTCTCTCTAGATATTTATTAACAATGAATGGCATGAGTCAAAAAGTGGAAAGAAATTCCCCTCATTTAACCCCACAACAGCTGAGAAGATCTGTGAAATTGAAGAAGGTGACAAGGTCTGTCTTTCTACATTCTTTAATGAAACAATATTTCATTCTTCTTAGTTAACGAGCAAAAGTTCTAAAAGTTAGAGATGGTTTGGTGGGGGCGGAAATACAGGGAAGTGACTTTTCATTAGTTGCTCTAATCCAGAGGTCTCCAAACTTGGCAATGTTAAGACTTGTGGACTTCAACTCCCTGGGAGTTGCCAAGTTTGGGGACCCTTGCTCTAATCATTTGGTAGGGACATGTTTCTTTATACCTGCTCTACTGTTGTTCAACTGAAAGGATAAATTCATGTTTTGTGGGATGTGCTTCCAAATGACCAGCATGTCAAATCAAGCCAGAGCCAGAGAGCAGGTGCCAAGGGCCTGAATTCTGATCGTGTGACCATGGGAATGCCGCAATAGTCATAAATGCAAGGATCAAAGGTATAAAGTACAGATTAGGCAAAACCTGGCTCAAAAACAGTTAACTGAGACCTTGGAGTCCTAGTGGACAATCACTTCAGTATGAGCCAGCCTTGTGCGACGGCAGCTAAAAATGCTAATACAATCCTTGGTTGTGTAAACAGAGGCATAGAATCAAAATCACATGAAGTATCAGTACCGCTTTATAAAGCCTTATTTAAGACCACACCTGAAATACTGCATCCGCTTTTGATCACCACGTTACAAAAAAGATGTCGAGACTTTGGAAAAAGTGCAAAGAAGAGCAACAAAGATGATTAAAAGCCTGGAGACTAAAACGTGAAGAACGGTTGCAGGATTTGGGTATGACCAGTCTAGAGAAAAGAAGGACTAGGGGTGGCATGATAGCACTTTTTCAGGATTTGAGGGGCTGCCACAAAGAAGAGGGGGTCAGTTTATTATCCAAAGCACCAAAAGGCGAGGCAAGAAACCATGGATGGAAACTAATCAAGGAGAGAAGCAACCTAGAATTAAGGAGAAACTTCCTCACAGGACTGTTAACCAGTGGAACAACTTGCCTCCAGACATTGTGGGTGCTTCAGCACTGGAAGGATTGGATGGTCACTTGTCTGAAATGGTATAGGATCTCCTGCTTGAGGATAGGGCTGGACTAGAAGACCTTCGAGGTCTCTTCCAGCTTGATTCTGATTCTGACTGGTCATAAGTCACCACACTGCTGTTGCAAATTTGAATGGTTGCTAAACAATGGTTGAAGATCAAGCTCCCCCTGTAAACCTCATGGCTGAGGTAAGGCATTTGCTGACGTACATCAAACCTTATGGCCATTATGGCTTGTTATTCAGCCACCTATAGGTGTATTAAAAAATAACAGCATGCTACTCTTATTTGTTGTTTCTCTTCCCCCATCCAAGTCTGTGCCCTCCTCTCTTCCTTCATCTTCAATCCCTTTAACTTTGTGCGTTCCAGTCCAGGGTTTGGCATGGAATTATGAAAAGCCATAATCCTGTAATTGAAGAGATGTGAGCTCATTTTAAAACTGTGCAATTCTGAGGTGGCTTTTTCCTCTACGGGTGATTATGTTAGCTGGCTCCACTGCTTCCCAAGCCATCATTAGAGTAAAAACAGATGATCTCTCTTTGTCTCTGGCTGCAAATCTTGAGCCCCCAAGGGTTGTGTGTGACAGAGCTCCGAGTGTCTCCTGATATAATATCCAAACATAATTGCTTTTCTCCCTCACTGCCCAACTTGTAAAGTATTTTGACCAGTAAGATGAGTTCTTGGAGACTTAGTTGCTCCTTCCTGCCAGCCGTGTCCCCATTAGAACTCTTACAAGAACCCACAACAGATGCAATAGAACACAACAACAGAGTTGAAAGGGACTTTGGAAGACTTCTAGTCCAATTCCCTGCTCAAACAAGAGACCCAGAGCCACGGTGGTGCAGTGGTTAGAATGCAGTACTGCAGGCTAATTCTGCTGCCTGCCGTCCACCTGCAATTTGGCAAATCGAATCTCACCAGACTCCAGGTTGACTCAGTCTTCCGTCCTTCCGAGGTGGGTAAAATGAGGACGCAGATTATTGGTGGACAATACTCTGACTCTGTAAACCTCTTAGAGAGGGCTGTAAAAGCACTGTGAAGATGTATATAAGTCTAAGTGCTGTTGCTATTTCAGACAAAGTGCTGTCCAATCTCTTCTTAAAACCTCCAGTGATGGAGCACCCACAACCTCTGGAGGTGAGCCATTCCACTGAATAATTGTTCTGGTAGGAAATTGCTCTTTAGTTCTAGGTTGGTTCTTTCCTTGATTGGTTGTTTTTTTGCCTTGAACTGAATTCTTGATTAGAATCCTTTCACTTTTGCCAATCCATTGTGTCTGTAATTTTCACACATCTAGACGCACAAATATTCTTGTTGCACTCATACCCAACCTTTCTCTTGGATTACATTTGCCATCAAGTCTACTTGCCATATCTTGGATTGTGTGAATTCTACTCTGCAACTGCATTGGGCTGAAAAAACCAGTTCCATGAAACGTGCCTGAATTAGCGCAGCACAGAATCTGTTAATGTGGACCAGCCCAATCCAGAGTGATCCTGCACTAAAGCAGACTCTTATAATTAGGGAAAGAATCAATGGATCAAAAATATCCCCAGATTCTTTTTATAGCGGACACATTCAGAGCTGGTATATTGCAAAAAGCACAATTATTTTATTATTTCTGCTTCCTTTCGTGAAAGTTGTAAATTGCCATTGGGGCCATGCAGGGCTTTAAAAAAAAAATTAAATGTTACCCAAAGTTTTAAAATAGATTCAAAGGTTGGCCAGCTTCTCTTGCCGTCAAAGGAAATAGAGGAGAAAGGTGAGTTTCCTGCACGAAGATCTCTCGTCTCAGCAGTGTGGGAGGGAAATGTCACAAAACTGGTTTTATAACTTTAAAATGTCCCTACCCATAAGAAGTGCAGTACCATTAGACTGGAACATACAACTGTGGCAAAAAAGAAAACACCAAAAAACCATTAGAAAAGAGGGTTGGAGTATACATTGTTTGTGGCATTAGTCATTAAGGAAGGGAGAAGAATATCTTAGTGTTGTGCTGATTTTGATCCATAAGCAAACCTTTAGTTGAATTTCACTGAAGGATATGATTCAGTCATAACTGGGTATAGAAAAAGCTCATGTGATGCCACCTATTCTTTTTATTGTCTAATGGGAAAGAATTGGGAAAGCTACAGTTAGAGAGCCAGTTGGCTGTCCTGGTTAAAGCTGCTGGACTGAGCAGAGAACCTTGAGTTTTAGTTCTCCAGGGCTCCACAAAACCCATCTGGGTAATTTTAGGGCAGACATTTTAGAGCTGGGATATGCATCAGTTGTGGCATTGGTCATTATCTACCCTCGAAACGATGCTATAGGGCACTGCACACCAGAACAACTAGGCACAAGGATAGTTTTTCCCCAAATGCCATCACTCTGCTAAACAACTAATTGCCACAACACTGTCAAATTACTGTATTACTATTCTTCTTCTCATCCTTCCTATTACCTATATCTTCCCACTTATGACTATAACTGTGTTGCTTGTATCTTTACAATTTATATTATTTTATTTGTTTTCTAGTATGATTTGATTGCTTATTAGTAACCTTATTAGTAACTATCACT